TATATATATATAGAACATAATGATACATTAAGTGTAGCCGCCATTACTATATGGCGGCGTGACATAGCCATCGTTACGTAACTAATTTATTAATTGAATGAAAATCATGATAAAAACAAATAATATAATAAAAAAACGAACCAATGGTAATTACCAGAATTTCACTCACTCGAGTTCAGTAGCCCTGCGACAGGAATCAGGTAACGTGAACCTGCTGGTTAGATAAGTTCCTTTACATGCAAGTGATGTAACTTCCTGCAGCGATCGCTAAACTGTAACATTTCTAATGTATAGGATATTAAAATGGTTTGAACTTGAGTAACCTACATCGTTGATGACGGATATTGATATATCTTGAAATCAAATTGATACTAACAAGCAGTTTGTCTCAACTCATCGAACAGTGACGTTCGTCAGGACATCCTACATACGGTACTACCATGAAACGGATCAAGTGAGACATGAAGTATTTGTTCTAAATCGAGAGTTTGCGATCGTTTATTAGAGCTAAAAGAAATATATAAAGAAGAATTAGGAAAGAAGAAGGTTTCAGAAGGTTATAGTAACAGGTTCACGGTCCCACTAGCCACTAGTTCAAGTTATTATCAGCGGAACTACATGAAAATGAATTAGATACAGTGTTACTCTGTCGATTGATTACGGATTCGGTCACATTGAATCGATGAAATTTTCCAGCCAGCACGAGAGATATCACGAAGAAAAAGATACTTAACTTGCGTTTAAGAGATCGAAGCAGCATGCTCGCAATATGAATTTTAAGAGTATTACTTGTAAAATGAAGATATGCGCTGTCATTCTCCATGTGTCAACTCAATTAGAAACTGAGGCACATATTGAATCTCATCAGCCGTCAGCCTATAAGTTTTCTGAGAAATATACTAAGCGAACAAGGGACAACACTGAATAAAGGCTCTGACAATAAGTGCCACAGATGCGACAAACACAATCCCACCGATGGTCCAGGAATGTTGATCTTCATCAAGAGAGTCTGACAAACTGCCTGTGTCCCGATGCAAAAAAGGAAATTTCAGCTCCGATATTGAGACGACGCCCAGTGACAAAGGTACTATGAGGAAGCAGAAAAAATATGCCTCTGAAAAGACACAAAAGGAAAGTAATGGCTTATACTTTACTTGGTATAAACTCGAAATGCAGATACAGCGAGTAGTAACAGAATCCATAGCTACATTATGCGGATTCGTATTATTGGCAAACTTCCGATGCATGGAGTGATCATGTACGGTCAGCCAACAAACGGTCTTAATGACACGTCCAGGCTCACCCGTAACGAAAATAGGTTATAAGGCTTCAGTAGTCCTACATTGAATCATATAGATGTACTCCACTGCGCCGTTGTTGTACGCTTCCCGTACCACTGCACCATTCTCTGGTACGAATGCCACCAGCCAACGGCGTTGTCAGCATAATACACGGTTGCGAGCTATTGTATGTTGCAGTTGACTGTATGGCTAGTTAAATAGGATCGTATTTGTGCGGTTGACGTAATGCTATTCAATTGTGTCTCCAAGACGAACCAATGTTGCGTAGAAATTGAACGAGTAAAGGCAAACATTGATAAATTATGTACGCTTTAGGCACGATATGAGAACGACGCAAAAAGGGGTATGGAAACGTGTCACCTTCCGTGACTCATATGCTGATAGTGCTCTCGCCCCTTTTACTCATTTATATGTGATTGTCGTACCGACATTATTATAATTAATTAGAAAGGGCCAATGCTTCGACGGGTGCAAGAGCGTTGAAAAGGTCAGTTGAATATAATTTACTGTCGTATTGTGGATCTTTTGAAATCGCGTAGAGACCTGGGCATTTGTTCGGATGAATATTTGAGCAGAAAAATTATTAAATCTAGTACTAGACTTCTTGATCTCTTAGAGATACGACAATTTACTCGCACCAAGATACTAATTAACTTGAAAATGAATTTAGACTGTTATGTCCATATGGAACAGTTTTAGGACTGACAGGAAAGCACCATAAAGTTAGGCCATGGTACTTAAGGACCAAACTAACTTTATGGTATTTTATGTATTCTCAAGTGTCTCTCTTCAAGTGTCGAGTA